TATATATATATTCCAAATCAAATAGCATAAATACATTCAATAGAATCTATTTCAATCTTAAAGAATAATCAATCATAATGTCAATGTCCATTCCAAAAACGCTGAAGCACCCATGTGTGAAAGCCCATAGAGAACAATAGTTTGGATAGAAACAAACAGCAAACATTTCTGGAACAAACAGCACACAAGTCTGAAACAAACAGCACACAAGTCTGAAACAAACAGCAAACATTTCTGGAACAAACGGCACACAAGTCTGATACAAACAGCACACAAGTCTGATACAAACAGCACACAAGTCTGATACAAACAGCAAACATGTCTGGAACAAACAGCAGACATTTGTCACAGAAACAAACAACAGACATTTGAAACAGAAACAGCAGACATTTGTGACAGAAACAAACAGCAAACATTTCCAGTACAATGGACGTACTTGGTCTTCATGCCTTCGGCAACGCTCCTTGTGTAAAAACAAGCGCAGTATTTAAACGGATTTCTTCTTTTCTCATAATTATTCTAAAAAGAATAAACAAAAGAACAGGAAGTTGTCGCAATCTGGAATCAACTCGCTCTTTTCCCAGCATTCAGAAGCTTTTCCGGCGAGGTCAGCATCGTTGCAAGCACTACACCATCTGTTGTAAAAGCACCCTCCTCCCCTCCCCCCACGCACCCAGAAGACCATTTTGCCAGTACATACTGAGCCACACATATCTTTACATTTACGACAAACTTACGATCATGTAACGCCACTAAACACAACCCATATATATATGTATACTTATAACATAAAAGTCTATCATGCAATGCCACTGAACACAACTCATGTACAGGGCCTATGTTCTTATTACAAGCTCAAAATTATGTATATACATACACATAGATCTATATCATTCACATAACTATATATATATTAAAACATGATTGGAGAAATCTTAAAGAAAGTACTCAGCTGCTGGTGTTTGTGAGATTGTGCGTGTGTGTGTGTGTGGGTGTGTGTGTGTGTGTGTGTGTGTGTACGTGTGTGTGTGTGTGTGTATGTAGGAGCAAGCCCCACCAACAGACAATAACAAGTAGAAGCAAGCCTTTCATCATCATCATCATCATCATCAGCATCCCCATGGTTGAGGGCTCAGGCCTCTGGGAGTGGACGTCCACTAAACCTCCACTAAGCATAGAACTTGGACTTCGCCACTTTCTTTCCCTTGAGAGCCTTGAGGGTGCCACTGGAGTCTTTCCACAAACCTGCCACACAGGAGAGAAAAAAGAAAACATTTTCTGATTAAACAAGTTGTTTAGTAAGTTTTTACGGCTCTTGCAACACAATAAGGTCATACAAGTGCCGAAGACCAGAGGTGTTACAAGAGAGTAACAAACATGAAAAACAAGGAGGAGAGATAAGGATGATGGATGTTCGACAGGAAAGAAGGAGCAAACCACACCCGAGCACCCGCCAACCACCCACAAATAAAGAGGAGCAGATGACAGTTACACAAAGTTATAAACAGCATTACAACAAGTACTGATGAAGTTTAGTTTTCGTAAGTAAGAGTTTTACGGCACTTGCAGCACAATAAGGTCGTATAAGTGCCGAAGATTAGAGGTGTTACAAGAGAGTAACAAACACAAGAAAGAAGGAGGTGAGATAAATAATTTATTACATGAGTTGTGGTGTAAGATCATGATTTATCCTACGAATGAAATTGCCAAGTTGTAGTCACGACTTTCAACGAGTCGTTACAACTGGCCATTTCACAAGTAGGATAAATCATGGTCAACCAAAGTAACGAGTGTAATAATTTTTTTATACCATACTGATATCAGCTGGCGAAATACGTCCGTACCAACAGAGTTGGAATGACCCGTCAGATGGACAAGAGGATCCATTCTAGAGTCTCACATGAAAACAACATTTTCATACCCGTCGAAGTCAGATTGAGAATTGCCAAAAATCTGGATTGTATTCCTTTGCCTTTACTTCTAGCCACGCTAATTTACAAGTTGTGCTATGCGTATGTCTCCCTCCGCGAAACAAACCCCAAACAAGACTATCGCAACGTATCTATAAGCAAAAGTAATCAGAAAACATAAGATTCAAAAGTTGAAAGAAACTACAATAATCTGGCATTTTGTTGTTAGAAAAGAGATGACTTTGATTTTGATTTCAAACTTCGTAACCAAAACAAACCAAAGGCAAAGAGTTATTCTCTAATCTAGATTTAGATCTAAAAATCTAGATATTAGAACTAACGCATTGCTTTAAAATGGTCAAAGATGAAAAAAAAGGCTTTTTAACAACAAAGGTTGTCAAGTTACTAGATCTAGGATATTGACGTGCGGATTCTAAACATGTAGTTATATCTAGATAGAATCTATCTAGTTTTTGTCAGTCGATTTCCGATATTCTGATTTTTAAGGGGAGGTAAGAATATCAGAATCACAGAATTCTACACTTATAGAAGCGGAACTCCCTCTTCGCGATCGCCGATTCGCTGTGAGGAATTGAAACTAAAACATGGCGGCCGGTTGAGGGCACCTTTGGCTGCGCCGCACAGAGAGGCTTCGCGTTGCTATGCACGCTGATGCTAGTGGTAGGGCTTGGAAGA